AAGAAAAGAAAAGCAAATTTCTCACAGCAGGTAGGCAAAAAAATCTTGACACATAAGAACTCCAGATTGTTCAAAGGCATAAAACAGCCAACATCGGTAGCCAGATTCCTCGCATGCTGTTCATGCGTCCCTTCCCCCAGAGATCCAGCCAGATGTGGTTTCAGAGGAAAGCGATGACAAACCTGGATAGGATCTTAAAAAGCAGAGGAATCACCTTGCTAACAAAAGTCCACATAGTCACAGCTATGGTTTTTCCAGTAGTGATGTATGGAAGTGAGAGCTGGACCATAAGGAAGGCTGACAGACGAAGAATTGATGCCTTTGAACTGTGGTGCTGGAGGAGACTCTTGAGAGTCCCCTGGACTGCAAGGAGAACAAACCTATCCATTCTAAAGGAAATCAACCCTGAGTGCTCACTGGAAGGACAGATCCTGAAGCAGAGGCTCCAATACTTTGGCCATCTCATGAGAAGAGAAGACTCCCTGGAAAAGACTTTGATGTTGGGAGGCAAGAGGAGAAGGGGACGACAGAGGGTGAGATGGTTGGACAGTGTCTGTGAAGCGACCAACATGAATTTGACCCAACTCCGGGAGGCAGTGGAAGATAGGAGGGCCTGGCGTGCTCTGGTCCATGGGGTCACGAAGAGTCGAACACGACTAAATGGCTAAAAAAACCCCAACAATAACAAATAAACAGAGGAGGCAAAAAGAATGTACTCTATAAAGAAATGAAGAGAAATGGGCCTGCAGGGTTTTCTTCCTTCTCCACTCTTTCTGTTTTAATCAGAGCCCTGTGTTATGAAAGCCAGGGTGCTTTTCCTGCCCTTTCGTCTCCCTGCCTTTTTACTCGGCTCACCCACAGGACTGGCTCCTGCCTGTTTTCCTCGAGTGCTTAGCTGGCTGGGGCTCCCTCGGATGGACAGAGAGCTCGAATCCGCTTAAGAGGAGAGAACAAATATGTTCCCTCAGAGCGAAATATCATTTTCTTCTGGGCATGGGAAAGAATTGAGGAAACATCTCAACAAAGGACTTTCCGCCCATCTGTGTGAGACTTGGAAAGTAAGGGTGAAATGTCACAGCTGGGATGAGTTGCCCATGGAGACAGATTTTTATAAGGGGACCCCAGAGTCAGTTGCTGATTCCCGCAGCCTTGCCTTGGGTGAGCAGTCTAGCTTTGCAAGGAGGCCCAGGGGCTGGAGGACAAAAGGGAGGGTGGTGGGGAGGGCTATTTCATCTTAACCCCAAGGAGGTTGTGAGAAGTAGCCTAAGCCATACCACAAATTGTAGCTCTTTATCCTTGGCACTTTTTTTCATTTTTATTAATTTGGCTCAATCCCCCAGGTCCATAAGTGTTCTGCCTTCCTTTCCACCATTTATGTCACTTCTCAATCATCTCAGTGTCAGACATGCAACAATGGGCTCAAGCTACAGGAAGCAAGATTTAGGCTGAGCATCAGGAAAGAGTTCATAACTGTTAGAGCAGTATGACAACGGAAAATTACTCCAGGAGGTGGTGAGTTCTCCAACACTGGAGATACAGTGGTGCCTCGCATTACAATGTTAATTCGTTCCAGCGAAATCGCTATAGAACGAAAACATCGTAAAGCGATATTTAAAAGCCCATAGAAACGCATTAAAACCTGGTTAATGCATTCCTATGGGCTGGAAACTCACCGTCCAGCGAAGATCCTCCATAGGGGTGGTCATTTTCGGTGGCTGTGTTGCGAGGAATCCGTCCAAAAACACAGCGGGGAGCCACTTTATTTACCCGGCGGCCATTTCGAAACCGCCAATCACCTGTTTTACAATCGTCATTTTGCGAGAATCGGTTCCCAAAGCAGGGAACCGATTATCGCAAAGCAAAATTCCCCCATAGAAAACATCGTTTTGCGATCGCTTTTGCAATCGCAAGAGTCGACATCAAGCGGTTTCATCATAAAACAGAACACCCGTCTTGCGAGGCACCACTGCATTCAAGAAAAGATTGGATAACCCTCTGTCAAATCTGCTTTGGCTTGGATTCCTCCCTTGAGCAGGGGGTTGGACTCAAATGGCCTTACAGGCCCCATCCAACTCAATTGTTGTATGAACAGATCCTCACAAGAGGGTAAATAGGCCACAGCTTGAAAACAATTCGTTAAAAGTAATGTTAATCTGTAGCTAGTTGTTTTGGGCAACATGCAAATATAACTCTTTTCTTTATTTGTCTCAGAGTTGCACAGTCTAAAATTATGGATGTATATGTAATGTAGGTAAAATTAAAACAAATCAAAATATTAGACTTTTTTTTAAAAACCAGGAACCGGGCTACTTCAGTAGCGTTACCTCGGCCATTTGCTCCATCCCTTTGTACCTGTGGTGGGACATAAATTGCATGCACCTAGATTGAATTTCTCCACAGCCACAGAAAAATTGTCCTGTACCCAAGTAACCTCATTTTACTTGAGTATTCCTTGATCTTTCTACTTCACATTGGAGTCTGCAAGTAACTTCCAGGGGGCCCAACAAGAGTCTTGTCCTGGTGGCAGAACACTCTTCAATACTCATCCTTTCGGCAAAGTGTGTAGTTTTTGCTCTCCCTAGGTTTAGCCTAACCTAAGGTTTACTGTTTAGAACTCGAGAGGTGTGCTGAAAACTTCTACTCATCTTTATACTATTCATTTTAATTCCATGATTAGATTTGCTCTCCCTAGGTTTAGCCTAACCTAAGGTTTACTGTTTAGAACTCGAGAGGTGTGCTGAAAACTTCTGCTCAACTTTAGCCATAGTTTTGGTGTCCATGAAGGGGATGGTTTTGGTGCCGTATTTCCTTATTCTGTTCATGAGTTGCTAGTACCGCTTGTAGGTAAAAAGTTGACTTTTCTTGTCCTTTTAATCTCTGTTAATCTGTCCATTTCTGCACTTTCTAATATTTTCTTAATAACCATGTCATCCTTTGGTGGATTTTCCTCCTTTCCAGACCTGTGCCCATACTAACCTAGCTGCTGTCAAAACATGTAGTATTAGGTAGTAGCTTTGTGTATTTATGTTATTTGGCAATAATCCCAATAAAAATATTTCTGGTTTAAATTCTATTTCCTATTGTGACATTTGCTTAATCCACATATGAATTTTAACCCAATGCTTTCTTGCTTTATCGCATGTCCACCATGCATAGTAGTTCCTTCATGATTCTTGCATTTTCAACACTTATTTGACATGTTTGTAAACATTTTTGCAAGTCTGGCTGGAGGCAAGTGCCATCTATAGAACATTTTATATAAATTTCTTTATAGGAGGTTGCTAATGTTAACTTGTAATTTTTTTACCGAATAATGGACTTTTTCAATGGGTGCAGGTTTCAGGCACCCAGTAATAACCCCGCAAGATTCCTTAAGAGCTACATCCACTTGTTTGGCACTTGCTGATTTGTACCATATGTCATGACACTCGTGTATTCTGCTGGGGAGCAGCAAAGTGACAAAGCTCTTGTTCTTATTGCTCTCCATTCAGACAGAGTTAGATTTGTCTAACTTCAAAAAACCAAGTGCTTCAGGCTATGGCCTGAGATTTTGAAATGAACCAAACGATGCTTAATCTAAATTAGCAGAGGGAAGTTTAGTCACAGTCTCTCACTGTATAAGGAGTCAAATGCAATCTTAAAAATCAACAGTCTTCATATTCTGGAATATTTAATGATATCGAAGAAATAGTTGTACGGAGCTGAAAATCCCCCCTGAACTCACCTCTTCAACAAAAGTATTAGTAGCTGTTACCTAGAACGCAAGTAAATAAAGCCAGAACTGAGCATTAACTTCAATAATATCACACAGACAAGTTGTTGGCTTCTTTTTCATAGGATTTTTGTTTTTATAATCTCCTTTCATAGAGATAAGGACAGTGATGTTTATGCAGCAATCTTGAGGCAGGGTTTTGGAATCAATTTCATATTGAAAAATTTGACAGTTATGACTTTAATTTATTATCAAATAATTTATTTACTGTTATCGTAAATCTATACATAGTATATACATACAATGAAATTCACACAGACACCCAGGACCAGACCCACATGCACACACATAAAAAATCCCCACCCACTAAAAATCCCCCACTACAAATACAAACATCTACACCACAGGCTAAGTAACACTGTCCAACTGTTCACTATTGGTCTTTAAGTTCATTATTACCACTATTGGTGGTCTTTAAGTTCATTATTACGTGCAGTTATAGTTCTGGGATTAAAACTATTCAGAAAATGTGTGGTCCGAGTCTTAATTGTTCAGTATCTTCTGCCAGATGGCAACAGTTCAAAGAAGTTGTAAACAGGATGGGAACAAGGATGTTGTGTGACTTCCTCAGACAGCAGGATGTGAAGATGTCATCCAGGGTTGATAGCTGGAGCCCGATGATATTCTGGGCAATTTTAATGATTCTCTGTAGAGCGTTTTTGTCCACTACAGAACTACTCCCAAACCATACCAGAATGCCATAGGTTAGGACACTCTCAATGGTGCTACAATAGTAGGACAGAAATGCTGAGATAAATTTAACTTCCCAAGCATTCTCAGGAAATACAGCCTCTTCTCTGCCTTCTTCACTAGCATGTTAGCATTTATAGTCCATGAGCGGTCCTCTGAGATTTAAGTGCCCAGAAATGTAAAACTACCAATCTATAGTCCATGAGAGGTCCTCTGAGATATATGTGCCCAGAAATATAAAACTACCAATCCTCTCCACTTCCTCGCCATTTATGTACAGTGGCAAATGTGCATTTCTTGTCCTCCTAAAATCAATTATGAGTTCTTTCCGTTTTTTTGATGTTAAATGTAAGATTATTTTCTTTACAGCAGAGTATCAACCCTTGTACTTCCAGACTCAGTGTTCTTATTTATAAGCCCACCACTGTCGTATCATCTGCAAATTTATTAATTGTGTTGGTGTTATACAGTGGGATGTGTGTACAGGGAATAGAGGAAGGGACTTAGCACACAGCTCTGGGTAGCTCCTGTACTTAGTACCAGGGTAGAAGACTGGTGAGATCCCATCCTTACTGACTGTGGCCTCTCTGTCAGAAAGTCCTTTACCCCCACACAAATCTTCTGAAGTAATCCCAGGCTGATCATTTTAAAAAAACAACCTATTGGGTAGAATAGTATTAAAAGCAGAGCTATAATCCACAAACAACAGCCTCGCATAAGTTCCCTGTTGCTTTAAGTGGCTTAATACAGTATGCAGAACAATGGACATAGCATCATCAGTAGATCTATTTCTCCTGCATACAAATTGCCATGAGTTCAAAGAAGGTGGAAGACTAGCCTTAATATAATCCAGCACCAATCTCTCAAAATATTTCATAATAAAGTTACTGGTTTATAATCATTGAGAGACACCACAGCTGACTGCTTAGGGACTGGCACTATAATAGATGTCTTCAAGCAAGTGGGGACAGAACACTGCAACAAGGATAGATTGAAAATATCCGTAAAAACTCCAACTAATTCTGCAGTGCAGCCCCATACAAATCGTCTCATGATTCCATCTGGTCCAGCTGCCTTTCGAACGTTAATATTCTGAAAAGCACGTCTCACATGTGAAATCTGCAGTAGCAGTGGTTGTCTGTCAATGGTAGATTCTAGTGATGTATTATAGACAGTAGGTGCCAGAATAATGGTTGTTCCTGTTTCCACCTCAAAACAGCTGAAAAATAGATTTAAGTGCTCAGCCCGACTGTCTTTGTTATTCTGCCCCGTAATTTGTCCCAGGCCATGCCATACCCGACGAGTGTCGGAGCTCTCAAGATGTTGCTCAATCCTCCGGCTGTACATAGCTTTGGTGTCCCTAATACCTTTTTTTCAATTTAGCTCTGGCCTCTCTACACTGTAACACAACACATTCTTGCATAGTTTGGCAAGAAACCGCCTTCTGATGGAACTGCCTGTGAGGGATTAATTTCTAAAAATATATGGAATCGAGTGCTGGTTCATCTGAAATTATTTTACAGTTAAAATAAACATGCTTTTAAAATAGATAACCTGGAAGTGCCAAGTTCCATGTATGCTTCCCTGGCAGCTCCTTTTTTACGGCTACCTGACCACTTCCATCATCTATTCCTTCAGTTATCACTCTATGACCACTCCTCTCCTTCCCCCTGTAATCTAATGTAAAAACTAAAGAAAGAGAACAAAAGAGAAGATAAATTCTAGTATATTGTAAATATTATGTTAACTGTTTGAAAGAATTATGTGTAACATGTTAACTCCTATGTTCATAACTTCTCTTTTTGCACTAAGTGCTTTAAAAATATAACACCACTAATTTCAGTCCACAAAGTGGAAACAGTTACTTCAGTTCCATTTTTACACTAATTATGGAGGCTGAAAGAGTATATTTTTATGAGAAATACACTGATGAGCATTCCATGAGGGTAATACAATACATTTCCTCTTTGCTGTCGCAAGCTTCTGTATCATTCAGGAGACCTGCAAGACCAAGGAAAGCATCAACAGATCTTAGGAAAACCACAGCAAACAACGTATGATGTGCCTTGAATGCAGAAGTAGAATGCTAGTCTTAAAGACATCACTTTATTCACCTTCGGGCAGCCACTCTCTCTTTGTCTTACCACCAGCACAGAGGTCATTAGCACATCTGCATTCTGGCTTTTTAAATCTAAAATGTCAGTGAGAATCTCAACTGGAAAGTCACTGTGGTGCAGTGATTAGGGACTCATAAGACCGTTGTAAAAATATCTCACCGTGAGCAGAATAAATGGAATACTGCTCTTTGCATTCATGTGAGAATGGCTTGCTGGCTCAGACAACTCTGACACTGCCATGGCTGTTGAATATTATATTGGCATCTATAGTACTCATGTATGTTATGGACCTCTTTTTTTTAAGTATCAGAAGATTTTCCATGGAAAAATAAGCACTGAAAAAGTCCCCCTCCCCACTGCTAAGGAACAAACTTAGCATCTTCCTTGCACATAAAAGGAGGCTGGGACAGACACTCATCCCTGGATTCAATTTACTTTAACTAGCAGAAAAAAGCTCCAAACTTTCTCACAGATCAAAACTGCAGACGTGGTCTGTGATATCCTGTTCTCCATGTCCCAAGATCTATAGGTGGATGGTCTCTCTTTTGTTGATACACACATCTTCACTTAAAGGATATGACTGGTTCACAGGACTCTTCTGCCATCAAGCAGATTAAGCTATTCAGATGGGAGAGGCTAGCCATGGCCCCTAATGACTGTTTTGGATTGCCCCTGTGAAAGTGCCTATGCTGGCACTTAGGTTCTTATACTACCAATGCCTTATTGACTCCCTTACCAGAGGCACAAGTTTCCTACACAGGATGTTTCAAAAAGGCAATTGCAAGACTATCACTGGAGATGGAACAGGCAAGGCAGCACATGGCATTTCCAATTATGAAGACTGCTCACCTACATTGGCTGGGTTCATGTGTTCAGCCGGAAGGGTGGTGCTCAGCTGCCATATTGTTTTAACCTTTTTCTCTTCTTGTCCACTGCTGATTTCCACTCTCCATACTTGGGGATCAGCACTGAAATAACAGTTAAATTTTTTTAAAAAATCAGTTGTAAGAACCAACATTTTATACTCAACAGTTACAGAGATTCCAGGGTTCATAGCAGAAATTGTCTCTCTCCCTGTGGAAGAAGCATATTACAGAATGAACAGGACCATAGCCACACAGAGAGAATCTGTGAACACAAGACAGAGTTCTAACTCCTATCTTCTGAAAATGCCAGCCACAGAGACTGGCGAAATGTTAGGAAGAAAAACCTTAAGAACACGGCCAAACAGCCCGGAAAGCCCACAAGAACCATAGCCTTCCCTTCTCCATAATTTTTGCAGGCTCAGATCACTTGACAACCCACATCTTTCAACATCCTTCCTCCCATTCCTTTATCTGGATTTTTTTTCTCTCTGCCTAATAAACAACATAATGTAGCTATTATGACGTTTCATGTTTTCCCAATTCATAACATCTCTCCAGGAGAGAAGAATATCCTTCTCCTTGGTTCACAGAAGAAGGCTCAGCATTCTCTCTGTTCTAAAGCTTCATTTTCCCAAACTACCAACAGAAACAGGTAGACACTCGTCAGTAGGTTAGTACGGCTCCCCAATCTCAATGATGTATTGCTCTGTTTTTTTAAAATAAAAAAAATCACAGAGACAAAGACTGGGAATCCAAGCGAGTGGGAGAGAATGAAAGATGAATGAATTAAGAGAGAGAACGTGATTCAATGGCTCTTTGGCATTTAGTTGGTGTATGATCCTTAAACATTTCCTCCTGAGCAAATGTGGCCCTCAGCTTCCAAATTTGCCCACACCTGGTTTAAGTACTAAGATTTGGCTTACTTTTGGTAGAAGTCCTTCACGAAAGTTGTCCTGATAGGTAGCTGAAATTCATGCTTTTCATTCAAGGGATTTTCCTTGTAGTAGTTTATGCAGGACCTATGGAAATATGTATTTTCTCTTAACATCTATAATCTTGAAAGAGGAACACAAGAACATCTACCACTGCAACCAATCTATAGCACACCAATTGTATTCTTTATAAAGATCAGTTGAACACAAGAACATCTACCACTGCAACCAACCTATAGCACACCAATTTATAAAGATCAGTCGGCTAAAAACTAAACAAATACAGTGGTGCCTTGCATAAAAAGCGCCCTGTTTAACGACAAATCTGCATAGTGATGCGGATTTTGCGATCGCTGTTGCGATCGCATTGTGATGCTTAAATAGGGAAAACATCGCATTGTGATGATCGGTAAGCGTTTCGCTTACCGATCTTCGCATTGCGATGTTTTAAAACAGCTGATCAGCAGTTCCAAAATGCCCGCTGCATCAACAAAATGGCTGCCTGCAGCGTTTTCATGCCGTTTCCTCGCTTACCGAGGCGGCGAAAATGGCGGCCCTATGGAGGATTTCTGTTTAGCGGTAAGTTTATCCCCCATAGGAACGCATTGAACGGGTTTCAATGCGTTCCTATGGGGGTTTTTTTGCCCCGTATAGCGACATTTCCTGATAGCGACGATTTATCCGGAACGGATTATCGTTGCTATGCAGGGCACCTCTGTACTAGGAAGACCTGTGCATAGCCCAACCAAGTGGGAATGTCTTATGCAAGAGCCCTGGCATGAACCAACATTGGGCAAGATGGCAGCTACATCACAGACCTGCTGTTTCTTCAGGAAAAAATAGTGAAACGGCTTACATTCCTTCAACTGGATTTTGAGTTCTCTAATAAAAATATAGCAATTTAAAACTAAATTGATAAAAATTAAGCATTGTTCTTCTCCCATAAAAAGGAATATCAAAGTTGAAAAAAGTCAATGAGAAACAACTGTGCAGTTGTTTTTGAGAGGGTTTAATGCTGTGCAAAACTCTCTTAAATACTCTTACAAATAAAAAAATGAGTGTAGTAATTACCTCGCTGTGCGGGGCACCACTGTACTCTTACAAATAAAAAAATGAGTATAGTAATAGCACACATTTGGAAAAAAGGAGAAACAAAATTTTGGTGCTTTCTCAACTTCAGTACTAGAACTTTTGTGATCATCTTTCCATATTATTTGACATTTTAAGACAATCTGCTGTTCTTCATATTTTAGACAGATTTCCTGGCAAACCATTACTGTGTCAAAAAGATGAGGTTCTCGTGCTCAAGTTTGAGAAGTTCTACGCAGTTGTCCACAATTTCCAGAATGTGATGAAGTTTCTGAAGACGATGAACTTGTTCCGGCAGATCTACTGAAGTAGACATGAAGTAATCCTTTGACACAAAGAGATGACAATGAACCAAAAGAATCAACACTTGACGTTAACTGTGTATGTTTGATCAATAAAATTCTTGAACACACAGCACATTGAACAGAGTTTTCCCGTGTCCCCTTAAACGGCAAAAGCCCAAATTACTGCCTTTGCTCTCAAACAGATAGAAAAAAAAACTGAGGTATCTTACCAGATGAGTGGGTGTTGCAAATTCCTTCCCTGAAACAAACATTGTTCTACTTAAGTATAGTTTTACACAACAAAAATATACACTAGAACACTGAGAGGTTTAGCTTTAATATATTTTAAAGGCCCACAATTGTAAGGTTATATAGACAACCGTGAGACTCCACACTTGCTTTGTAAATATATCCTGTCCAGTAAGAAAACTGGAATGGCAATCCAGATGGATAGGAAAGCTCCTCAGCACCTTGCAAGTTTGCCACAACCAAACGTTAGCTTCTGTTTGAAATGGGCCAAAGGCATGAGCCATCTGACCACCTCAGACGAGATGGTCTGTTCTGGAATACACTCATTATGCAACTCCACGGCCACCGTGGAAATGATATCACTGCAGTGGCAGATTGCTGCTTTTTAAAAAGAACTCCCTTTTCAATTTCAGGCCAGACACAACTTCATCTCATTGCACGCAAGCTGCATCCAATTTAATATATAAAAAAGGAGCTCTTTAAATAGCAGCAATCCGCCACTGATGAGACTGTCATTCCGGCTGCACTAGGGAAATTTGCAAGAGGATCTTGACCATTATTGTAAATGTTATATACATAAGCCTTACTTGTGGGGTCAAATCCAACTTCTAATTAAATAATTAGCTTGTTAGAATTTCCAAACTTAATTGGATGATGTGCCCAATCTCAGCCTTCGTGAATATATTGCCCAATCTCAGTTTAGGAATTGAAGGAGATTAATTCAAAAGGTGGCAGATTGTTAGGAGAAAGCTAAAGGGTAACACAATGGCTAGGTGAAAATTCAGACATACCTACAAAATAGCTGACATAATCTCTCTTCATTTTGTCCATACCAATTTCTAGAAGCATTTGTATTGGAGTTTCACCAGTAAGAAAAACTGTCTCTACAGCTCCATGATAAGATTGCCTGATCAATTGACTTAGTAAGCTGCTACTTCCTTGATGAACCTGTGGAGACATAACATTTTATTTCTATCCAGCTGTATCACTACATATCTTAAAATATACCATATTTACAATGAAAGTTATATTTAAATGAACCTATTTCTGTAGACTACACAAATGAGACGGCCCCGGGTAGCTGGCTCAAGGTTGACTCAGCCTTCTATCCTTCCGAGGTCAGTAAAATGAGTACCCGGCTTGCTGGGGGGGGGGGGCGCAACGTGTAGCCTGCATAATTAACTTGTAAGCCACCCAGAGAATGCTTTAAGTGCTATGAGGCAGTATATAAGCAGCACACTTTGCTTTGCTTCTTTTATCCCTATCAGAGCATTGCACAGGTTAATATTATGATCATATATGAAATATAGTAGGTAAAATTAAAACCTGATCAGTTAAATTATATACTGATAATCCTTTTTTCTAATAGCAAATTTAGGAGTTTGCCTGCCTATGAATTTGGAAGCAAAAAAGAACTAACAAGAATATAGTAATGATTCCATGTCTGGGAGACCGTCTGCACAAAAGTATACAGATTTATACTGTGGATTAGGAAAAAGAAATTCTTCCAGGAAGAATGGGATATGGAGGCGTTGTGGGAAAAGGAAGAACTGGCTTTTCCAAGCCTCTAACATAATAAGCATCTCGGAGGGAGGATTAAGTTCAAGGGCTGCTTGGCTTTGGGTAAAACAACTCTTCTCTCTGCACTATACAGTAATGTTTTAGGAGAAAGGGGAAGAGATGTAAGGTGAACTCCAGTTAGCTGTTTCCAGTAGATACTTTCCCCTTCTTAGAACTTGTACCTTGGCTGTTCCTGTTCCGTGCTGTCAACCCAGAAATACGTTACAGAGACCCTAACTACCAGTTAGCTGTTTCCAGTAGATACTTTCCTTCTTAGAACTTGTACCTTGGTTGTTGCTGTTCCGTGCTGTCAACTCAGAAATGAGTTACAGAGACCCTAACTGGGTTTCAAGATAAGTGAAATATTTAAGGAATGGTTTCACCAGTTCCAATTGTCTCAGTGGGTTTCCATGGCAAGGCCTGGAAATCGAACCCAGGTCTCTTGAGTCTTCGTCCAGTACTCTCTCCACTACACCATGCTGGGTACCCAGTGCCCTGGATTCATGACTACAAAAGGTTAAGGTTCAAGGCTAGTATCCTCCAACATGTTAAGTTGGGAAATTCTTACACCTACTATTGTTTATTGTTCTCTGCAGTTGGCAAGACAAGGAATCAGGCAGAAATCTATTACATCCTTTGCTATGTATCAGTGCTTAAGTTATCTGTTCCACCATCCTGTCTGATTAATTTTTTCATGTTATCTTTATCTTAGTTTCTCTTTTTCCTAGTTTAAGTTGACTGATATGTTTAATTTGATTTTTGTACATCAACGAAAGGCATGCCTGTCATTAGGATGTTGCCAGGTCACTATTAGCAACATGAAATGGCTGCTAAGCAACCAAGCAGTCATGCAAAATATTCAGTTTTCTGCTCATTTCTCAGCATAATGGGTGCTGGAGGAGACTCTTGAGAGTCCCTGGACTGCAAAGAGAACAAACCTATTCATTTTGTAGGAAATCAACCCTGAGTGCTCACTGGAAGGACAGATCCTGAAGCTGATGCTCCAATACTTTGGCCATCTCATGAGAAGAGAAGACTCCCTGGAAAAGACCCTGATGTTGGGAAAGTACGAAGGCAAGAGGAGAAGGGGGTTACAGAGGATGAGATGGTTGGACAGTGTCACCAAAGCTACCAATATGAATTTGATCCAACTCCGGGAGGCAGTGGAAGACAGGAGGGCCTGGCATGCTCTGATCCATGGGGTCACAAAGAGTCGGACACGACTAAAAGATTAAACAACAAGTCCCTTTTGTTTGCTGTTGCCTCGAACCTACAGATTCTTCAGAAAGGTGTGAAACAAACTCCAATTTACTGTTTCCATTTACAGAAGAAGTTGCAGCTTCCTTTTCATAACACAACATGAAACGGCATCCTGGTTGCCCAACGCTGCTTATACTTACTCAATATACAATCATGCCACTTACTGTATGTAATCTCTAGGGAAACTCAGTTACATGACATATTCACAGACTGAGTCTTCTTGGTAAAAACACATGTTATGCCAGATTCTAGATGGCTCTGTCTTAGATTAAGAGAGCAAGAAGAAGAATGGAGATGCATGCCTCTAAAGCCCTCTAGATTTCTTGTAAGAAGGAACCAATCTGAGCTGCTAAAAAGATTTTTGTTTATTTTTCCTTGTATGCATATTGAACCAGCAAAAGAAAGCTCAACTAGAACTTTTGCCAATATTACAAATATTCCTTTGGAATTAGAACAAGATAAATTTTTAGAATTCCCAGTATTTTGTCATTGTTTTTTCTTCTGGGGGTGGGAACAGTATGTTTGCAAGGTATTGTACATGGTAAGACAGACGTTTATAGCGGAGAGGGTTGTCCCACTGTCGTCGGCTTCGTTGTTGGCAGCTAGCAAGTGCCATCACCGGCACAGCCTCTCACTGGTGGTCTTTGCTAGTGTTTCCAGGGACACAGGGAGCAGTAGAGCTATATTAAAACCATCTATACATTTTCCAGTTATGGATTACCCCTTCTCCTCCCACATCGAGTATGTACAAAATATGGTTATCCATTTTGCTGGAGCAGTGGCAATAGTGTCCCGTATTCCATGCTCTGTAGCAGTCATTTCCAACCTCGGGTGACCCAGATGTTCTTGGATTGCAACCCTCAGAAATCTCAGCCAGCATTGCTATTGATGAAACCTTCTGGGAATTTCAGCCCAAGAACATCTGGTTGGGAACCACTGCTCTATAGGATTGCCTTGCCCAGCTTCCACTCCTGTCCTGTCCTACATACCCATGTCTGCAATTCACCGCGTTGAAGGGATTTCATTATCAGTGTGAAACATTCCACCATTTCTCCATATGAAGTGACATCTGGGGAAAAGAATTAAATGTTAAATATAGGAAGGACAACAATTAAAGTAGATAAAAGCAACAAATGAATTTTCAAAAGGGCACTTCATTCATCCAGCCAGTTGAATAAAGGCTAAAAATCTTAAAATAATGAAGATGTCTGGAGTTACAATCTAGTAATATACCTACTCCTCCATATTTTACACCACAGCTGTTCAACAAAGTCTAGGTCTCCTCTCTTACTAAAAAATGTTTTCATGGCGTCACAAGCTGAAGCATCACCATCCTGGGAATTCTGAGAAAAAGGAAATAAAGGAATAATTTGAATACAATCCTTCAAAATAAAGCCACACATGTCAATTGTTTATATTTCACTCTTGCATGTTATTTCCCCACCCCACCCCACCTCTACAAGAGAAACAGGAACACAGTCCTAGAACATTTAAAAAGAAACCCATACAGTAAAAACAGCTGCAAAACAATTTAGAGAAAAGCTGTTGAGCAATACCAAGAGGAAGAGGAGGCATGAAACACCATTTTGTCACTATCATCACTGCCAAAGAGGAGGACTGTTAATGAGTAATCCCTCGTTTGGTCAGATTCACTGAGTGCTCTCACTTGCACCCTAGCTCTCTCCCGGACTGTGTCATAACCCACAGCTCTCCAGAAAACAAAACAAAAGCCATGCTTCCTTCAAACCTACCTCCTCCAACACTTTTATTCGATATTAGAAGTGCCTTGACGGAACACAAACCAGAGCATTTGTAAATTTTATAAAATATGTATATCTTTTTATTTTCAGAATATTTTTTCCATTATTAAGGTTCAGTGTTGCTTGTCAGAGGATTATCCGCTTTCAACTCATGTAGTATAATGCTGTGTATATCCCACTACATCTGATAGAACTCCCTTGCTAATCCTTCTTATACAGAGACTGGGGAGCAAGCACTAGGGAACTATTATACCATGAAATATTAAAAGCAAGTTAGCAGAAAAGGAAAATTGTGCAGTAATATTTTGTTTAGAGATCATTCCAGAGATCTGGAAGGTATCCAGAATTCATGTTCTTAAATAGATGTTTAAATGTTCTTAAACTACAAGGACAAAAACACAGTCCCAGATACCTGAGCCCCCCAGGGACAGATTCATGGCGAAGCAGGCAAGCTTTGGATCCACCTCAGAAAGGCATGTCCTTGCTCTTAAAGCCAAATTTGACACTTTAAAAATCATCCTTAAGTTTTTAAAAAATCAAGAGTCATACTAATCAATGATGAAGGGGTGGCAAAAGAAAAAGGGTGTAGTTTTGTAACCAATACTTTTAACTATACTGTACTAACTTATTTGTAACCTGAATGGTGTTTATTTTTGAGTAGCCATATGCAGGACTGCCCTGGGAGTTGTTTTTTTTCCTACTCTTTTGCTAACTGACAGCCAAGCCAAACATTGTGGAATTCAGTCTTAGACTCACGACTTTCCTCCTCTCTGGATCTCATCTCTCCTCCCCGCAACTGTTTTTACTAAAGGAAAAGGAAAGTAAGGAGATTTATCACTTACAAGTATTTTGTGCCCCTTCAAGCTGAAATGGGCAGTGTCAATCTTTATCTGCCTTCCCCTAGGAAAGAGCTGGTTGAGATTATGACTGCTTCACTCAGCTCGAAGGCCAGTGCCAGTCTCTCCTACAGGCATACTTAGTGCTGATAGCAGCAGTGGTGGCACTACAGAGCTACCACCACCAGGTAAGCCTGGAACAAAAAGTGGAGCTCACTCGTAATGGCTCATATATCTACCCCATTATGGTATCACCACCAAGCATAGGCACACGAAGGAAGCCAGAGGCTGGGTCGTCCAACGCCCTAGCAGGCTTACTGGCAGTAGACTGAGATGTGAGCAGCATCTCTGCTCCTATTTCAAGCTGCTGCTGGCACTGGGTAAGACTGGAAGCGAGTAAGTGCTATGCAAGAAGATTGGTAGCAGACCCGTCCTCTCCCAAGAAGGACAGAATCGATGGCTATAGCAGCATTGCTGCCAGAGTCGCAAGACCCAGTCACTGTCGCTAGGAAACTATTAGGGTAGCTTACTGACATTTACCTCCCTTAAGTGGTTCTGGACATGTGTAGATCATACACTACATTGATACAAACTGACATTTGATAAATTTAGCAAGCTTTATCTCCTGGGAGGGCCAACTGTGATTGTATGTTTCAATACAGTTCTGCAAAAAAAAATATAAATTTATAAACATTATACTCAGTTTTTTAAAAAAAGGTTCAAAAGGCACCAAAGTGAGTCTCTGTCTGGGATCCAATGAGAAGAAGAATATCAGCCGTTTACAAAAGTGTTTTTTCCTTGAACAGTCTTATTAATACCTCTGAATCATTTTGGTTTGGCATTGTCAACCCATTCACTTCATCCTTTAAATCTGAAAGAGGAGACAGAAGATGCAATTACAAGACAAAAACAAGACACTTTTAGAAGAGTCATATGAATGTAAAGCAGATCATTTTGTTACACATCACTGAATTTGAACAGATCAGACTTCTAATGTATCCAATTATCAGGATTTTGAATACCTTTTAAAAATATAGTTATATTAAATTTTGCATAACAACTGCAACTGTATAGAAAATTACCAACTTACCTTTCAAAAGTTTCTTCACTAGTTCAACAGCAGGTTTCTGTCCCGAAGGCTTAGGCAAGTCAATCATACCAGTTTTCAGGTTCTCAGCTAAACTCTTTTAACAAAACCCCAAAAGAAAACAAACAAATGTAGAGTTATGTATTGGTCATGTTCCAGATTTAGTACAATATACAAAAACAAACATGCAATCCTATTTTAAGCACTTTAAATATATTTACACAAAAGGAAGTCCCACTGCGATTACTCCCTAATAAGTAAGCTAAGATTTCATTCTTAATTATGCTTTTCTAAAAAAAGAAGAAAATGTTGCTGAAACTACCATAATCTTTTTCCACCATATTTTAAAATGACTGAACCGATTTCATTTTCTTTAGATACTTCTTCCAAAACTTTCAAAAGACTATTGATTAAAAACAAACAAGCATCCTTGTCAATGGTTTTCTCCTGAATTGGAAATGTCATAATTATACTTACAAGGAGGAATTGCAGCTCCCTGTTCAGCTCATAAACAGAACTCAAATGGCTCCCAGATGCCATTTGAACTTTCTAAAATTTTGAAAAATAAGATTACTGAAATGGAACAGATCATTACAAGATCCAATGCATTTTAATAAATAGCTGTACAAACTGTCACTGGTTCACAATATCCATTAATAAAACCAGAGTTTCACTACTTACCAGTGTAGCAACTGAAGTGAGAGGGGGTGTCTGCAGCAACTTTGTTACAGTGTTCCAGGTAAAATCAGCATGTATATGTCTCCCCAGTGGAGTAAGGGTATCCTCTAAAGACAAGGATCCAAATGACGTAACTTCGAGGAACTCGTAACGGGCAAAACCCTTTATCGTCAGCTACAAAGAACAAGGTATACAGCTATACCAAGCTAGCTCAAAGAGTCAATACTTAAGAAAAAGACCTCAAAGTCCAAGTGAAAGTAATTACCATGCAAATTCTCATTAACCCTGTAATTCTAGCTGCTTATATGGGAGTACTCATCAGAGAGGCTTATTTCTGAGCAAATTTCTTCAGAGTTTAAATGAACAGACTACTCATAAAATATTTTCATTTCCAAGGTGTCAATTTCTGGGAGCTAGATGCTCTTCAAAGGCTCCATCTATATGAGTTCTATTCTAAACGCCATTATCATTGTTTTAAGAACCAAATCAAAGACTTACCTTGAATTTTTCAGTCCAGTGCCTTTAAAAATGTATTAAGTTTTAATACTTTTACAGATGTGAACCAAAAGTATATATATACTAATACCTACATCAGATGAATGATGTCTCATTTTATGTCTCTCTTTCAGTTCTTCCAAGTCCGCAGAATAATTTTTATTTGACACTGGACCTGGACAAAGAATCTGAGTTTAGCATGGATTATTAAAATACCAAAGAATTTGCAGAATGATGGGTCAATTTGCTTTGAAGTTTTGCTCAATTAGAAGTTTCCCCCTAATATTAATATAGTTCATCAATGACTTATGCCATACGTTAAAACAAACAAACAATATGAACTGCAATGGATGCTGGTCAGAATCATGTGATCAGATGCATTCCCAGAAATCCCTTAACTTCCAAGTGCAACTTAGAGAATTTCACTTACACATGTGTAAATTGACATGCAGAGCACTGGATAAAAGGTATCACTAGTAACCAATAATACACATCCTGCATCTGTTTAAACAAAGGAACACATGTACCTGATCAAGACTGAATTGCTGCATTTCCAAGCATTGCCATTAGAATTTAAATTAATGCTGCATCAACTAATACAACCAAAAATCATATTTGAAAAACTCTCTTTCTCAAGGACTCCAATTAAGCAGATTTTATTTATGTAGCAGACACACACCTTTTATCTCAAAGGGATTTACATACTTTCAAACATTAAGAAACTTTTGTTTCTTTTTTTATGCCATGGCAATCTGAGGTGAAACACCTAGAGAAATGTCCCAACCAGGAGAAAGTCTTACCAGTGCAGCTGACTGTATGAAGGCTGATCCCTGTAAGTTTGTTTTCTGTGTTGAGTGGCTCAGCTCCCAGCCAGATAGTCTGTTTGGGATCGGAGCCATCACATCGCACCCATAGGGGAGGAAACACTGTTGGCATCGTTATTTTTAAGTGGTTCATATTTGGATTTTGAGACATTGTATAGAATGAAATCAATTGCCTAGAAACAAATGCAAAAACATCACACTTCATTAATGTCAGAGTTCAATGCAAGGGGAATATTGGTAAAATCTTCTCTAATGTCACATATGTTCAATTTTAGTTACCTTTATTTGTTAGTTACCTGCTACTCTTGCATTTGTTTTCCTTGACTTGGAGTAGATCAATACTGTGTAGTAAACTGTAACATATAAAGCTCCAGCTTGGAACCTTAGGGTCCAACTAGAGATTCACCTCTTGCTTTAGTAAGAGGAGCTTTACAGAAAACTTCCCTCACTGTCGTATCCTCACACTGTCACTTCCCAACATAATGCAATAAACAGGGAAGAATAGCAGGACACCTCCTCATCAGTGGGATCAGTATCTGCTCATTTACTTATCCACTGCCTGAAAATACTAAATATGTTTAAAAAAACACCCCAGAAATACAAATGTCTATGTATTTCCAGAATTGGCCACTAAAGGGAGCCAGAGACCATGCAATATATAGCGTTCAGTACTTCCACGTTTTTAGGCATCCACTGGGGAGCTTGGAACTGATCCCCCACAGGTACCGCAGCCCTACTGTATTCAATTAAGCACAGTTTCAACTTCCATCAAAATTCAAAATATGGTTATTTGGTTAAGAACCAGCTAGATGATTGACAGATTAGCTAAAAACATAAAATCTATTTCATTTTGCACCAGTTTTGGAACCATTACATCTGACCGTTTATTAAGGATAACGCTGACTATTCCATATTCACACATAATTGAAACTATATGGCTAAATAACAGAAAAATACAAGAGTTTGTGTTTTGGTTGTTGGATAAGAGGTTGTTGTTTTTTTTAAATTAAAGGATAACAAGATTAAAATCACCTCGCTCTTGAAACAGGTAAAGCAAGCACTGAAGAACTGCTTTTCGGGACAATCAAAGAACTAGGAGTGTCATCGGTTTGTTCCTCTTCTAAACTGATGGGTTCTTCCGATGGTTTCTACAAGAATAAATATTCTTATTTCTGGTACTAAGACAACTCCTAGAAAAGCCACTTCATAATTTTGAACAAGTATACACAACTTACCATTTTCTCTATAACAAACATTACATCACTTCTATTCCAGAAGTTCTCTAAAGGATTTGCACATCCTTCGCCAATCAAATAGCCCTGCATTTCACTCTGCCAAAATAAACAGGATTGTTAGCATAGTTCACTTTTTAAACATTTGAAGAATTATACGTTATAACTAATTTATATCATTAGCAGGGTTGTTGGATAAGAGGTTGTTGTGTCTTTCAAGCATGTTCCACTGTTCATGTCTACTAACTAACAACTACCTCTCAAAATAATATCTCAAGCATAATTTTGATGTAGTCTTGATCTTGCAGATCTCCTTAACATATTTGGACTTCAGACCTATAGTGAAGTGGTCTCCCACTGCTGTACATGGAAGCCTTTATCCCGAGATTCATAGGAGTATTGTAACAGTAGGCCTGCTACCCTACTGCAGTGATGGCGAACCTATGGTACACGTGCCACAGCTGGTACACGGAGCCCATTCTGCTGGCACGTGAGCCGTAAGTCGCCAGATCGCAATTCCCCCACCCCGTGCAGCCAAACCTGAAAAGGTGGTTGCAGCCGCGGTGCTGGCGCTTCCGCAGGCGGATCTGGAGCAGCTGGTACTGGCAGCGGATCCAGAGTGGGGTCCTGAGGCACCTCTGTGCTGGGATTCCCCCTTCTGCCGCCACTTCCAGTTCTGCCACTGCCGCCCACTTTTTTTTCCTCCCAGTTTGGGCATGCAAGCCCAAAAAGGTTTGCCACCACTGCTCTACTGTCTGTATTGAACAGGGCTACGCATGTGCTCTCTGATTCAGTGTAGAAACTAGAGATGAGCACTTTAGAAATGAAGTATTCTTTGGAAAGCATGAACAACAACTGTGTCATGTTTCAGGCATTCAAAGATGAAAACAAAACTCTTCTGATAATTTTCCTTGTAGTACACAACAAAGGGATGGACAGTTGCCATCGAGTTGTTCCAGTGGAATGACTGGGCTTCATCTTGAATGAATAAATAGTTCTCAGAAAAATCACATCACCACAGCTTCGTTAGGGCAAAGTGTAATTTTCGTCTCTGCAAAAAAAGCAGGTTGCTGTTTGGTGATGAAATCATGCTTCTTCAAGATGATTAGCTAGGCTGAAAACTCCTCAACAAAATCCTCTGTGGTTTTGCTAAGTTTCAAATGAACAGCAGTCCACTGAAATCCACTGCTTGTAGGTGATGTTATCAATCATTTCTTCTTCAGGACTTGTCAGTAAGGTTTCCTTGAATTCATCACTGCTAGGGCATGAATCACGCTAACCAAAAAAACATTTCTCTGCTGGGGTATTACATGTGATTCTTGATAAGCAATGTTGATATGTTTTTAAAAGAGTATCATGTCCTTGCAGGGTCACTTTGTTTAAATTAGCACCAGCAATCATGAGCTTTATATTCTGATGTATTTTGTGCACGCACACACACTGTGAATCCCACTAGTTCCTGCTATAATTTAGTTCCATAGTCTTAACACAGCAAATTTTGAAAATTCTATCTTTTCAGATGGGTACTTGGACTTAAAAATTTGGTAAATTTCTCTAATGTTACCATGCTTTTGGACATGTTACATGCTTTTGGACATTCTTTTCAGATGGGTACTTGGACTTAAAAAATTGGTAAATTTCTCTAATGTTACCAAGTATCACATGCTTTTGGACACAAGTTCGACAACCATCTTTGTCTTTGATTTAAATATAATCTTTCTTGCTGGGCATTTGCCTGCTGACTTCTACATTGTAGTAAAATTCCTTTACTAAACTGACTGTGTCTTCAGGTAACGTTTTTCCAGGTATGAGATTAGGTGAGGACAAAATTCCTTTTTCTTTCACAGGTTTCTTTGCCTTCCTTGCAATGTAGTTACTTACTCTGAATTCACTTTCTATTCTTTTACAGGACGAGCCTTCTGGTAAAACTGTCAAAATCATGAGCTTTTTACTTCTGTTCGCAATTTTAAATTTTTTGTGCAGTTGCTGAATAATTTCTGAGTCAGCACAGTTACTTTCTTCCTCGTCTGAATCATCTTCAGAAGTACAAAATAACTCTTTGTAGGTCCTTTTAATCTTCCCCATCTTCTCTTTGCAATACTTCTTAGATCTTTTTAATACTTTCTTCTTACACACCAAAGAAGGGCAAAGAGGCATTTAAGTGGCTAAAAGCTGCATTAGGGTCAAAATACTCAGACTCCTTACTATGACTAGGACCAGGAATCTCATAGTTCTCAGGAGGAATTTCCTATTCAAGTATATTGTTTTCCATCTGATAAGGCTTCTCTTTTCCTTATCAGATGGAAAACATCTGAAGGAAGTACATACTTTCATGTGTCATGAAATCAGTTACTTTCCTTAAGTCTTTACTAACCCAGTGCCCCCTTTTATAAAAGGGTTGCAAAAGTTTTTGACCACTTCTTTTCCTCCATATTTAAAAGTATGTAGTCATCGGTTATTTCATTAAACTTAATAAAGACTAATAAAGGAGCTTCACAACAAAAATGTCCTAGACAACTGCACAAAAACACACTGTCCAAATGAACTGAAGTGCACACACTGAGATCCAAACCACAACTCAGTTTGCTGGAATGTAAAATGGTGGTGAAAGGTCACATGACTAAACAGGCACAAACATGTCAGGGTTTGTCTTGTATGTTTTGAACAGTTCCTTTACCAAGATAGCCACCTTATCTCCCTACACACAGAGAGAGAGAGTGTTTCAATCTGATTGTAAAAATCCTGCTATAATGTTTTTTGGATTCATTTCAGTTTACCACAGAATTTCATCAATGTAAATTGTAAAAAATGGACTTTAGGGTTTTAAATCCTTGTTACTGCCAAAAAGAAAATGTTTTTGGTATGATAACAATAAGATACCAGCCTGAAATTTGAATTGACTGGCTACAAAACACATATCTTTAAGTGTGAATTATTTGAAAACTTAAGAAAATTCAATTTTCCAAAAAATTCAAATTTAAATTTTTTTCAATGTGTACATTTTTTTTTTAGAAAATGCACAACTGCATCATGTTGTATATCAAATGTAATCCCTATTCATAAGCTTTACAATGACACCTGTTCCAGGTCTGTAGCTATCATAGGTATTTATTAAATGACATTTGAAGTTATGGTGCCTAGTGAATTATGGCATTTTTTTGCAATTTTGAAAATGCAATATCTCAGAAACGGGTGAACCAAACAATCTGAAAAAAAATTTTTAAACACTTCAAGGTTCCATGCATTGGTTGATTTGACATGAAATGACCCTCAAGTTAATGCCTTGATTAGAAAAACTCTATTTTCTAGCATTAGATTATTTACCCTGCAGAAGAAAATTGCACAGCTTAGCACTACAGACAAGAATTAAAGCATGTCAAGTATCTGGGGAAAACATAATGATTACTTGAGAAAAAAAAATCACATATGCATACCTTAAAGGCACATGGTACATTGCTACTCTTCTTTCCTTCCTCATATACTCTGAAACATAGCAAATAATTCATTTAATGATCAGACGACAGAGATACTTGAAGTCCACTCCTTCCTTTCTTGGTAAAAAAAATGTTTACAATCTCTTTCAGAATATGCAAATTGACTTTAAAAAATATAATCTGGTATAGTGTATTCATTCCGCATAAATGTTGTGGCTCCCCCCATTTTCATTGTGATCTAACATGAAGAAGTCTAGAAAAAAACCAATAAGAAAAATTCTGGCTGCTATTAGAACCACAGAGCAAGACTTGGGGGAGAAGGAGTAACCAACATACTGAAGGGTGCCAAGACTATTTCCTAGCTTTCTGCCTGTCTCTAATATATTAGTCAATCAGTCAAAGACAGAGAGATCCAATATATGTTTGTTTATTCTCAGCTGAGAGCAAGCAAATAGTCGCATTTCACACACAGAAACATGCAAGGAAGAGGCGTGCCGCACTCATTACGGAGGATACTTTTATAAACCTTCAACTGAGTAAGGGGAGGCAAAGGACAGGAACAAGGGCAGGAGCAGGAGGGGAGAAGGAGCCTTTGCAGATGTCATCCCTCCCAGTTCCTGGCGAATGGACTCCCATGTTCCTCCCATGTTCCCAAGGACACATTCTCAGCTAGACTAGTTAGTTACAAGCAACAGTAATTCAGGTAGCCTCCCTCCCTTTGTCTATTCTTCTCTACTAGGCAAAAACCTTGATACATTAGGTTTACACAATTATGTAGCAAAGCAATTTACAGAAAGCAAGGTGGCGCTGGTTAGGCTAAGATATATTTTAAATGTATTAATTTGACCTTCATCAAAGGAGCCTAATCAAAGCGCATATTTACAGGTAACAAAAATCTCAAAATATGACCCAAAGCACCCTAGCACAGTGGTCCTCAACTTTGGGCCTCCAGATGTTCTTGGACTTCAACTCCCAGAAATCATGGCCAGCAGAAGTGGTGGTGAAAGCTTCTGGGAGTTGTAGTCCAAGAACATCTGGAGGCCCAAGGTTGGGGACCACTGCCCTAGCACATATGCCCTGAGAAATGAAGCATACTGAGAATCAAGCCTGTTCACAAACACACTTCCGTAGCCCTTCATTTACTTAGCCATATCCTGTCTTCTGTGGCTTGATTAACTCCCGATAAGTAGTAGATTAGACCTACAACCAATTTTGGAAATAAAACAATTTCTGAGATATCCCCCCCCCCCGCATGTCCTGATTCCTTAAGGGAATCAGAATTTCTCTGTTTCTGAAAAAAAATGCTGCTGCATCATAAGCTTTATGCAGTGCAGCTGCTAAAACTGCAAGATTTTAGCACCATATGTATAGCAAAACTGAAAGAAAAGGCCTGTAGTACTTTTGAAATTAACAAACTTATTTCATTACAAACTGTGAGGATTACACAAGGAACACAATATTGATACCAGAAATTTCTACACGTAGTGAGGAGCAAGATGGGGTAGATGACAATGTTGATTCTCAGATCAACAGCACAGCTATGGTCATGCATATGACACTACAGTATACAAACACATTCATAGCCTGGAAAATACTTTCTCAGCTCCTCTACCCTAAAGCCTCTCTCCTAACTGAGAGAGATCTTTATTATCTGGACTCATGGAAAGGAATCTCTTGAAAAGTTTCCTCTTCAGTAACATTCATCTTACCATCAACATGAACTGAGAAGTTTACACGAGCCATTCTCAGCAGAGGCCCTGGCACATTTGAAGGGGGCCACAGACTGAGATCTGTGAGAAGATGAGCCCCAAGGGCTTGTGGGGGACCCCTAGTAACTTAACTGATGAAATACCTAAGCTGCATGGGCCTGGCCCTTTGTGCAGGCTCCTTGTTTTCATGGCTTTCTTAGAACAGAAAGGAGACAACTTTGCCTGCTACCTTCCTAGTGATTGCTGATGCAGGCAGACTGCCTTTTTTTTCATTGGAAGCCAGTCACCTTGCTATTTTTTATTGGAACCCAGCCATGACTGTAACCTAACTGAGGCAATCTGCCTACTGCCTCCCCAGCAATTGCTGACATAGGCACCGTACTTGTTTTTCATTGGAAGCCACCCATGACTGTAGCCTGATCTGCTGAGGCATTTCTGCCAGCTGCCTCCCCAGCAATTGCCGAAGTAAGCATCCTGCCTGCTTTTATTGGAAGCCAGCTCTGAATGCAGCGAATGGGCTGCTGCTCTCTGTATTGTACAGTGGACCCTTGACTTACAGACGGCTTGACTTACAGACTTTTTGAGTTACAGACTTCTCTGGCTGCAAAATTTAGGTTTGACTTGCAGACTGAGATTTGACTTACAGACCAGAAAAAAAACAAAATGGAACAAAAACAGCCTGTTACGGGATTAATCAGTTTTCAATGCACTGTAGGTCAATGGAGACTTGACTTACAGACTTTTTGACTTGAGAACCGCCTTCCAATACGGATTAAGTTCTCAAGTCAAGACCCCACTGTAATGTGTATGTATATGGAGTGAGTCAGAAAGCTGGTAGTACAGCATGGTGGGACCAGTGGCAGGAGGTGGGATGCAGGAGTGGGTTGCATGCTTGCTCTCTCTTTCTCAGGGGCCTCTCTCTACCTCTCTTGCCTCCAAGGGGCAAGAGGTCTCCTGGGCTCCTTGTTTCATTGAACTGATGGAAGAGATGTTGTTTGCCAGGAAAATTAAAACACATACTAAGGGACTGTCTATTTTTGAAGAAGTCAAAAGTTATTTAAATGGAACGATATTCCAATTGAGAATGTAACTGTTTGTGCAACTGATGGTGCTCCTTCTATGGTTGGTCAATACAGAGGATTCATTGCCCATCTAAAGACAATTACATCGTCTATCTTTACTCTTCATTGCATCATTCATAGGGAGCACCTAGTATCGAAGAACTTGGGAGGATACCTCAATCTTTCACTTTCAGTTGTCATAAAGGCCGTAAACTCACGTCCTTCAGGATTGTATTTTTTGGTAGCTATGTGAAGAAAATAACGAAGACTTCCAGATGCTGGTGCTGCACACCAAGGTTAGGTGGCTTCCCAAGGCAAACTGCCTTCAGTGTTTTGCTACACTCTGGGAAACCTTCATTTCCTTCATGTCTGATAAAGAGCATGGAGAAAAACTTGTCGATGCTAATGCAGACATACTGTATATTATCTGGCAGATATTTTTCAAAACTTAACGTGTTAAGCAAGACCTTACAGGACAAAAACAGTAACCTTGTAGATAGTAAGGAAGCAGTTGTTTCTTTCCTCAAGAAAATCGAAGCCTATTGGCACAACGATAGTAAGGAAGCAGTTGTTTCTTTCCTCCAGAAACTCGAAGCCTATTGGCACAATAAAGGATGTCAAGAATTTTTACAATTTCCAAATCCAAAGATGATCGTAGAGGCACTGATGGACGATGACCTTACCATTTATGTGAAGCATCTCAAGAAGATACACAGGGATATGCAAGAAAGATTTAATGACCTGTTAAACCTGAGTATCCTGGATTGGATTTTGAATCCATTTGAAGTACAACCCACCCAAGCTGAGGCAGAGATCAAGAGAGTTTGAGTGATCTTCAGAGTGATTTAACTGCGCATCATCAGTTCAGTCAGTTTCAAAAAGATTTTTGGATCAAGTGATCTGTTGAATAAATTTCCAACACTGTGGGAAAAATAAATCTGCTAGTCTTAAAGGTACCAGTAGGCCTCTTCCTTTTTTGCTTTTGTTATACACGCTGAAAAAGACTAACAGGTACCTATTTCGAAACTACAGCATACACTGGACTACAACCTTGACTCAGAAAGACTGAAGCAAGAATACAAAGTGAGGATGACTTTGCTCATTTGATGACCAGCCTGCATAAAAAGCAGAGCAAGATAATGAAATGCTTCAGATTGTAGGTGATTATATCATTTGTGAACACTCATTAAGTAGAAAGCCACATAAGATTCTAATTTGTAACTGCTAGCCCCACTAAAGAAAATCATGTAATGTGACAAGAGAATTTGAAAATAAGTTAAATCTAGCTAGAATGGACAGTACCAGTTCAGTCACCTCATCAATTTCTGTGCAAATCAAAAACTCACAATAAAATCCAGCTTTGATATCAACTAGAGTAGACCCAATTGACTTATAAGTCGGATTTATTTCTGTAGGTCCAGTCTAACTGAGGTGGCTTGAAAAATAAGACTATTTAATTCTCTGTCTTATTGATCCAGCCTATTATAATCTTAATTGTTAAGAGATCCCAAATTTACCTTTTTGCTTCATAAATGTAACACATCTGGGGTTACAGAGTGTTTCTTGGCATGAAGTGGAAAATTAAGATCTTTTACTATCAACTAGGTTTAGGCCTAAGCTGCCTTGAGGACTGTCATAAGAACATAAGAGCCCTGCAGGATCAGGCCAAGGGCCCATCTGGTCCAGCTTTCTGTATCTCACAGTGGCCCTACCAGATGCCTCTGCGAGCACAGGAGACAACTAGATACTTTTCTCCTAATACCCCTACATTTGGCATTTGGAGGTAACTTCCTTCTAAGCCTGGAGACTGTACAACTCTGTCATGGCTTGTAACCTGTGATGGACTTCTCTTCCAGAAATATGTCCAATCCCTTTTTAAAGCCATCTACGTCAGACGCCAGGGATGTGGTGGTGCTGCAGTTTAAAACACAAAGCCTCTAGGCTACGTTGAAAAATCAGCAGTTCAAATCCACACAATGGTGTGAGCTCCCATGGCTTGTCCCAGCCCCTGCCAATCTAGCAGTTCAAAAGCATATAAAATGCAAGTAGATAAAAATAGGTACCACCACGGTGAGAAGGTGACATCTAGTTGTGCTGGCCACGTGACCACAGAAATTGTCTACAGACAAACGCTGGCTCTATGGCTTGGAAATGGGGATGGGCACCGCCCCCTAGAGTTGGACGCAACTGGACATTTGTCAAGGGGAATCTTTACCTTTACCTAGGCCAGATGCCATCACCATATCCTGTGGCAAGGAGTTCCACAGACTAACAACATGCTGGGTAAATAAATATTTTCTTTGGTCTATTCTCACTCTCCCAACACTGTTTGAGTGGATGTCCCCTAGTTCTGGTATTGCATGAGAGAGAAAAGAGCTTCCCTCTATTCACGCCCTGCATAATTTTATACATCTCAGTCATGTTACCCCTCAGGTGCCATTCCTCTAGACTAAAGAGCCCCAAATGCTGTAGCCTTTCCTCATAAGGGAGGTGCCCCAGCCCAGTCATCATTTTAGTCACTCTCTTCTGCACCTTTTCCAGTTCCACTATATCTTTTTTGAGGTGTGGCCACCAGAACTGTAAACAATAAATTACATCCAGGGTAATATCATGAAGTTGTCCAGAGATTTTTATGACATCACTTGAGCTGGGTAGGAAGAAGCTGGTCTGGACTCTTATAACTGGGTACATAT